GAATTCAGATAAAATGCAATGACATGATTACCTGGTCTCAGTGGAATTGTCTTCCTTGGAGATTAAGGCTGAGAACTACTCATTCTAGAATAAAAAAAAAATATGAATTCCTTCTTCACTAAGCAAATGTTATCGCAAAGTGCTTTTTCAAAAGGCAACCGGACTTTGCTTTTTTTGTTTTTTTTGAAGCAGTTTTGCTTCTCATCCAAGAAGCTTGGTCATATAGCTGAAGAAGCTTCTTGGATGAGAAGCAAAATATGTTCAAGAACAAAACAAAATCCAGTTTCCTTTTGAAAAAGCACTTTTGGGACAACTATGACCTGGATGACTGTGTGTTAGTTCTCCAGCCTCCTGGTTAATACTAAAATTGGTTTTTTAAAACATGTTTTCCAAAGAAGATTCAGGTCTGGGAATTCAAAGGAAGTTTGAGTCTGCTACTTGTGGAATCTGCTACTTGTGGAAGAGATGAGGGAGGCATAGGAAGGGAAACTCAAGGGAAACCTTGAGTTAAGCTAGAAAATGGGAACCCTAGCTAGTTTATAGCTCGAAAATGGGAATCCTTCACATGCCCACAACTTGCCTTTTTGAAAATATTCATGATTAATATCCACAGCTATCTACAGAATGCTAGGAATGTTTGAAACACAGTTTCTAACTGGAACTATCTTCTACTGTATATAGTTTTTGCTCTCATCTAAAACCTCCCTCCCTTAGAAGAGAGCTAAGATGGTTGAAAAACTATAACTTGGAATGATTTCAATGCTGGCAATAATCCTTGTTCAAATACAAAGCCATTGTAGACCAGAATGCATAATTGATCCTCATGAAATCAACTTAGACATGGAAATGGCTTGACTAGGTCTTGCACTGAGATCTGTCAATTTGGTAATCAAATATTGGGGAAATGGCCTGTCCCCACCAGTGTAGTGGCTGTAGATCTTGGATAGCAGTAGCACTTAGACTTAGACGTCAACATATTGTCCCCAACAATTTGGGTCCTCGTTTTACCCACCTTGAAAGGATGGAAGGCTGAGTCAACCTTGAGGTATGTTGTGGCCTGCCAGCGAACTGGCAGCAGATTCAGACAGTGAGGAGGTTGGGGAGGAACATGGGCCAGTCCTGGAGTCTGGGGAAGGCTCTGATGAGGCTCTGCATCAGAGGCAGAGAGGGGGCCAGGGCTGGATGCCAGTTATCAGCTGCCTTCAGAGTCAGACATCAGTAAGGCAGACAAACAGCTGGAGCCTGTTCCTAGTGTGTGCATTCACAGAGTTGCCAGACGAAGGGAACAGCTAAAGAACAAGGGTCAACTTGGGAGTAAGGCCACAGGTGGATGATGAATAGCCCCTCCCAGAAGGAATAAAATAGGAGCGAAAGGGGAGTGGACTTTGCAAGAGACAATTAGTTTGCCTAATTGGTTTGTGACTCTCCGAGACTCTTTGCCAAGTTATGAAGATAATCGGCCTGGCAGCTCTCCAAGCCAGAAAAGGTCTGTGACTCTAAATTCTCCCTTGAAAGACTTTGCTGAAGGTGAATGAGAGGAATTCACTGTTTGCTTAATAAAAGGGGTTTTGTCAGGACCAGGATTCTCCTTCGTGCTTTTTTGGGAAAGCCTAGGTCAGAACAAGGTAGTTGGAATCAAACTGCTGTCAGTCGGCAGAATTAGCCTGCAATACTGCATTCTAACCATTGCGCCACCACAGCTCTTATTCCCTAAAAATAAGACAATATAGAAAAGCACAGGAATAAGTTAAAGCTCATCCCTTGTGGAAAATAGTACGCTGTTGCTTCTGCATCAGTTACACTATTCGTCACGCCAGGCTGACCTTTAGGAATGCACCCAGAAGCTGATGTGGCTAAAAGTACACAGGAAAGGGTGAAAAGCTAAATTGACAGGAAGCGTCTGTAGCTTGTGCATAGCTTAACCACAGTAGCTTATAGAAAAAGGTATACAGTGTAAGAGCATTATTAGGTAACCTTATCTTCTTAAGTTTATACAAATAGTTGATAGGAAACTGTAGCCAAAGCAACCAAAGCTAGACCTGCGGTCAAAAGGTGTTACAGCTGTCAAAGTTTAAGCAGAGGCTATGCTAAAAAAAAAAGAAAAAGAAAGAAAGAATAAATAAATAAATAAATAAATAAGGGGAAGGGGCACTTAAAGCATGGTAGTGGGAGATGTAAATGGGCGGAGATTCACGTAGGGCTATTAGGCACCTTGGAGAGGTTGTAAACCTTGGTGCACCCAGCCAATGAGGAGGCAAGGGAGGAACTACTATGTGGACAGGGATAGGGAATAAAACATTACTGAAATTTATCAGAGAGATAGTTGCTTTATGGCAGAAATGCTTCCAGAAAGATCCATTAATGAAGAGTATTGCTGCTTAGAACTGCAATAAGCTTACTCTAGGGCAGGGATGTCCAACCTTGCCAACTTTAAAGACTGGTGGACTTCAACTCCCAGAATTCCTCAGCCAGCCCTAACAATGGTCGCTTGTAGTCAAAAATGGCCACATTCCCATTTCAATTCTTTGGGTGGGAGAGCCTGGCCTCTTCTCTGTCATGTTGTCATATCAGAAGAGTACTGGGGGATGGGGGTGGGGAATAAGGATATATTGTATTGCTAGGAAAAGCTTCTGCAATTTCTTTCAAGTCATCTTATTGTAGGAACTTATTGTAGCCAACTGATCCCAGACTTCGTCCAGGATAATCGGGAGGGAGCTTAGAAACTTCTGCTGTGGCAGAATATCAGTTAGAGACACCTTTGTTTTTCAGAAGCTTCCCTGAAAAGGGGAACAACCCCTTTACTTCCAAACGGAAATCTTGCAAGAATTTTATCTCTCTACCATCTAGAATTACGTTAGCTTGGGTAATATGATCAAGGTGTGTGCGTGTTCTTTCTTCCCAGTTGTCACAGAATAACTCAAGAATAAAAGAAGAGATCGGTTTGGCTTTTTGCTGGGCTCTTTGTTGAAACACAGAGGTGAGGCTACTGAGATAAAAGCAAGCGGTACATTCTGGCATCTCCTTCAGGGTTATGACGCATTTCACATTTGCTTCTCAAAGGACAACGTAAAGCATAGTGGTAGAGTATATTTGCAACACTTTTAAAGCACCTGAATATTTTACCTGGGATTGCACCGTCTCTCACATCTGCCATGTAATCATAGCAAAGATGTACAACAAAAACATTGCATGCAGATACTCCATTCACTGCCCTCTGTGCTTCGGAGTACTTTTTGGAGATCAAAAACAAAGCAGGACCCTGTTCTGTGACAGAGGGAATTTCCATGCCTGTTCCAATAGTGAGCTTGAGAAACTGAAGACATTTTTGCTGGGGTGTCTTCAAGAATTTGTTTTGTTCAATCCTTGGAAAAGATATTTCCTTCTCTGGCCACAAAACAGACCGGAACACCAATTTTCCAACATCCCCATTGGTACTCCGGATGGGGCTTCTTCTCCATCCTTCATCTATCTAAGCCCCAGGAAAAAGTAATGAAGGCCGTGGAAATCTACAGCATGAAATAAGACATGAAGCCAATGGCTGTGTGAGCATGGTTTAAGTCTCTGCCATGCAATATATAACAACAGTGGAGGAAATGAAGGAAGGTCCTTCACAGACCACAATACAGGTATAGTCCTAGATTTAGGACCACAATTGACCCCAGAATTTCTATTGCCAAGTTGTTAACTTGAGTCTTGCCCAATTGTATGGCCTTTCTTGCCACAGTTGTTAAGTGTATCACTGCAGTTGTTAAATTAGTAACAGGGTTATTAAATGAATCTGGTTCCCCATTGACTTTGCTTGTCAGAAGGTCGCAAAAGGCGATCAATGACTCCGGGACAGGGCAACCTTCATAAATGTGAACCTGTTACTAAGCATCTGAATTTCGATCACGTGACCATGGGAATGCTGCAACAGTCATATGTGTGAAAAATTTATTTATTGTCATATTGGTCAAGTTATTTTTTTTTCAATACTGTTGTAACTTCAAACGGTTACTAAATGAATGGTTTTAGTCAAGGGCTATCTATATCCATTTGTTGCTAGGGACCTAGTTCAATAAAGGTGTTAAATTTTATCCATCAGCCTTAAAGGATAGGAAAATATATAATGCCATATAATTTGTAGTCCTGACTACCAAAATGCATTCTGCCATAGACGTGAAGCCAAAAATTGGTGACTGGTGCTGTCCTTTCTGTTTTAATATGAGACAAGCTTTGGGGTATTTCTCTGGCTCACTTTCTCCTCATAGAGAGTGTCACCTGGCTGAATATATGTCACATATAATAATTGTCTGTAATATGGGTGGGCTGAATTAAGTGAAAGTAGATGGGTACTTGGAACAACACGTTTAGCCATTTATTAAGTTGTCTAACAATTCAGAGCTATAAAATGTCTGTGAATTGGTAGTTAGGCTATTTTAGAACATGGGTTTAACTGGTGCAGAGTTAGGTAACTACGCGCAACTTTACAAACCTGTCAACTTCAACTCCCAGAATTCCTGAGCCAGTATGTGCCTTTTTGCAACGCAAGCAGCAGCAATGATGGATTTAATGTCTGATATGCATTTGCATATCAGGAGAAGATTCCTGTTCTGCTTTTTTAATTAATTGGAAGCTACTGTCTTTTCAGTCTGTTGTCATTTAGTTTTTTACTCTTTGAAGAATTCCATCTGAGGTGGGTGGCTAGTAAATTCAAAAATAAATAAATCAATTCTAAGATACTCATTTAAATAATCATATATTGAAAATACAGCATACCCGAAACCTACCTACCAACCTACCTTCTTCCTAGCTTATATGGAGATTTCAATTTTTATTTGTACAATAGCAACCCTGTGAGGTAATCATTCTCAAGTAAGGACTTGATACTTGTTGAGTTACCATTCTTGGTTAATGTTGAATTATTATAGCAACATGGTTCTTGAAGAAAATCTGTTTGTGGTTGGTAGGAATCAAAAACTACTTCGTGGCACACAATCCATCAATCAATCGCCACACAATAAAGACTCCATTACTTTATTTTGAAATAACAACCCATACTGGAAATTCAATTTGGAAAACAACCTAGTATTCTTTTATACTGCCATGTTCCTACACACGCAGCAGAACTTGAGAAAATGTTGAACCAATATCTCATTTGAAGTTCCTTCTCTCCTGTAGTTCGTAAACTTAACTTGCAGCCTTCTCCATTGATTGCAATCCAGTCTATAGTATCCTATGGTAGTTCATTAACAGATTATGACTTCGCTGTCCGGCTTTACAGCTTTATCGGTGTTTTGAAAGTTGAAAGGTGTAAAGCAAAATTTCCAGCTGACAAATGGATCCACATCCCAAGAATCTTCAGGAAACACAATGTCTTGGCCTCTCACCCAACACGCAACCCCAATAAGAAAGCTGTTGACAAAACAAAGCCAGGGGACGTTCATCTCAATGTGGGCAGGAATCTCTGCATTAAGTAACACAATGAGCATTTGGAGCATAACGAATGGCGTCCAAGTGCCCATAAAGCTGATCAGAAGTCTTGTCAAAAGATGTTTTGAACGATCTCTGGAGCTGCCCTCAAGTTCATAAGGAAATAACAGAACAATGTCTTTTTCAACGGAAATAAACTTAGTGGACTGCACCATATTTATAATTTCTGACCAACAGAAAACAATAACTAAGCATATTATGATCAATATACCAAGTGAGAGCCAATAAGTTTGGCTGCTAATGTAGAAAGGACATTGATGCTCATCATTGTCATTATTTATGTTCAGCCATAAAGAAGTGCTCCGAAGATTCAGAACGTAACCAAGCACAGAAATCCATGTGAGTATCACAGCAACTGTGTACAGTGATTTCCAACATTTGTTCTGGTATTTGGAAGTGTGGGTTATTGTAAAGCAATAATCCAAGCCAGCTATCAAAAAGACTGGGTAATGTAAAATCCCATAGACAAAGGAAGTAATCTGAGGCAAAAGACAGATGTGATACTCAGTAAATCTAATCTCCCCAATCAAAATATTCAGATTACAGAAAATGAGAGTCATCATCCCCAGAAGTATCAAGTCAAAGATAGCTAGTGAAATGCAGAAATAGCTCATAAAGCTCTGATGATGACTGTGTTTTCTGACTTGCAATAGAAACAAATTGAGAGATACTTTCCCCAGCATGATAAACAGCAAAGTTCCATTCGCTTCAGAAGGTAGGACCATATGACCATCTTTAAAATTCAAAAACAATGAATTGATGACTGCAGCCATGATTATTGGGAATGATGACAGCCGTTTCAAGCAATAGCTCATTCCTAAAACATCAAGAAAAGATATTAATTAATCTTAAATTCTGAAAAAATAAGATGAAATTTTCCAAAGAGTGAGCTACATACTTACCTATCTCAATCATCCTCCCTCTCTCTCTCTCTCTTTCTCTCTCTCCCTCCCTCCCTCCCTCCCTCCCTCTCTCTCCCTCTCCCTCTCCCTCTCTATCTCTCTCTCTTATATTGCCACCTATCTACAAATGTGACTCTGGGCAATGTGTACCATAATAAAGCCAACAATTAAAATATTGTTCATAAACCAGTAAAAGCAATTAAACATAAATAGAAACAAGATCACAATAGAATGTATCAGGTTTGGGGTTTTTTGTTTGTTTGACTCCTGGTGATTACCTTGACAAGTGCCTGCAGTTCTTTTGTCAAGATTTTTCAGGAGTGGTTTGCGCCCTTGCCTTCTTCCTATAGCTGAGAAAAGGTGACTGGTCCAGGTTCACCCAGCTGGCTTTGTACCTAAAGCAGGACTAATCTCCCAATTTTTAGTCAACAGTTCAAACTATTCCCAGATAACAGGGCAAGACTGTGGCCAAGGCATCTCTGCAGGATGTGCATCAATGCTGGCATTTAATTGAGCACAAATTTGAGGTATTTTGTTCAACAGATGCTGTGAAAATTCTTCAGCATGGCCTTGCAGATAAATCTCTTGAGTCCTCCTTACCCAGCGGATCACCCTAAACAAGGCCACCCAATGGCATGCAGTACGGATGGAGAAGTTTCCATCAGAAACAAACCCTAGCAATTTCTGGAACTCTTCTGGATTCATCAGGAGGATTTTTTATCAGGTTCGCCTGATTCGCCAGTTGCGTCCCTTTCTGGATTGGGTCTCCTTATGCACAGTCACTCATGCCGTCGTCACCTCCCGCCTGGACTATTGTAACGCTCTCTATATGGGGCTCCCCTTGAGGAGCACCCAGAGGCTCCAACTGGCGCAGAGTGCGGCCGTGCGGGTGGTAATGGGAGCGACATGGCACTCCCATGTAACACCCCTCCTGCGCGAGCTGCACTGGCTCCCAGTGGTCTTCCAGGTGCACTTCAAGGTTTTGGTTATCACCTTTAAAGCGCTCCATGGCTCAGGACCTGGGTACTTGCGAGACCGCCTACTACCACCAATAGCCTCCCATCCGCCGGTACACTCTCATAGAGAGGGGCTCCTCCGGGTGCCGTCGGCCAAACAATGTCGACTGGTGGCCCCCAGGGGGAGAGCCTTCTCTGTGGGGGCACCTACTATCTGGAACGAGCTCCCCCCGGAGATATGGAGGATCCCGGATCTGTGCACCTTCCGCCACGCTCTAAAGACCTTTTTATTCCACCAGGCGAGCCTGGCCTAACTTTCTCCCTCTTTTTAAACAATTTTAATAATTTTAATATTTTTAATACTCAAAGTTTAAATTTGTTTTAAATTGATTGGGGTTTTAATTTGTCTGGGCCAAACTATTTATTTCAATTTTATTTCTGCTTTTTAAATTTTGTATATATGTATTTTATTGTTGGTTGTTCACCGCCCTGAGTCCTTCAGGAGTAGGACAGTATATAAATCAAATAAAAGTAAAGTAAAAAAGTAAAAGTTGCTGAATAAAACAGCCTACCTCCCTGCAACAGGAACACTGCCAGAGAATCTCATGGATACGTAGGAACCATAGAGAGCTACCCCCAATTCCAGATCACACTGCCAGTTTTTGACAGTAAAATCAAATGAGACGTGTGACCACTGCTCCGTGTTGAGGATGGATGACCTGGGATAGGCCCATGGCTGTCATAATGGCTTTGTTAAGCCACCTACAACCCCATGCCTAAGGAAGGCAGACTGACGTTCTCCAGGACCATGAGCCCAAGGAACTCTACCGCCAACCCCAAGACAGAGTTGAGGCAGACAGATTGATACATAGTAGGCAAAGTGGTATAACAATGCCAACTAATCTCTAGAGCCCAATTTAAGGAACAGGGTCTTATTTACTGAGTGTATGAAATATGAAACCGACAAATAAATGAATGTATATACGCACACAACTTTGGGAGCTTGGTTTAGAGGCAAGATTCAAACTTTTAAAAAGGAGCTCGAGAAGATGTAATTAAAAGTTGGATTGTATATTGGGTTTAGATTAATCCTGACAGGGGCAGGTTTAGGATGTGTGTGAATAATCCCACCGAATTATATCCCTTTTTAAAACATTTTTTTTTTAGAAAAAACTCATTTCACAGAAGATGAACAATATGAGAGAATTTCCCACTCATACAAGAAGGGAGAAAAACTCATTGTACAAAAGAAACAAACAGAAATAACATTTTCCTTAAACAAAGCTCTGAATTGCATATTTTTCTTTTCCTTTCTTTTCCTTTTTATCCCTTTCTTTTCTTTTCCTTTCCCCGTCCCCTCTCCTCTCCTCTCCTTTCCTTTCCTGGAGTGTTTCCTAGTTCAGGAACATTCTTGAACAACAGAACAACAATGTGTCATTGAAAGCTAATGTTTGATGGTCCTCTCGAATTTAAACAAAAATTAAAAAATAAAAGTGAGAGGGAATGTAGAGGTACAAGAGCAGATGTCCTATAGTTGCCTGGTGGATAATATGCCTTTTTAGTTAAAATACCTCGCATGAAAAGAATATAAAAAGTATACACTTGCCATAACATAAACTCAGAAAAAGAGCAAACCAGAACAAAATAGTAGCTTGAGTTTGTAAATACCAAATAAAGATTAATAGCCTGGAAAATACAGCTCTCTCTTTATATAAACAGGTGATCTCTGATCTGCATCTGCCAAGCATTGTTTTCATGCACTCTATAAATTACTTTCTCATACAAGCACATCCATTCTCCTTCTTTCTAGCAAAACCACAAAAAACAAGAGATGGAGGCAGGATGCAGACAGAGAAAAGGAAAGAGGGATTTCCTTTCCTTGGGGAAAAAAGAGAAGAACAAAAATGAGTGAAGATGACATCCAACAAATGGCAGTCCAATCTCTTCCTGAAAGCTTCCAGTGATGAAGCTCCCACAACTTCTGAAGGCAACTTCTGTTCCATTGGTTGACTGCTTGGTCAGAAAATTTCTCATTTCCAGGTTGAATCTCTCCTTGTTCAGTTTCCATCCATTATTCCTTGTCTGGCCTTCAAGTGCCTTGGAAAATAGCTTGACACCTTCCTCTCTGTGGCAGCCCCTTAAATAATGGAAGACTGATATCATGTCACTCCAGTCCTCCTCTTCACTAGACTAGCCATGCCCAATTCCTGCAACCATTAATAGTATGTTTTACTTTCTACTCCTCTAATCATCCTGGTTGCTCTCCTCTGCACTTTTTCTAGAGTCTCAACATCTTTTTATAGTGTGGTGCACTATAAAAACTGGATGCAGTATTCTAGGTGTGGTCTTACTAAGGCTTTATAGAGTGATGTTAGTACCTCACTTGATCTTGATTGTATCCCTCTGTTAATGCAGTTTAGGATTGCATAGGCTTTTTTGGCTACCGCTGCACACTGTTGGCTCATATTTAGCTACTTGTCCACTGACTCCAAGATCCCTCTCACAGTTACTATTATTGAGCCTGGTTTCACCCAATCTATGTGTACTTTTGGTTTTCTTGTCTAAGTGTAAGACTTTACATTTCTCTACATTGAATTTCATTTTGTTAGAAATGGGCCCATTTTGTTAGGGCCCAGTGTTCAAGTCTGTCAAGGTCCATCTGGATCTTGAGCCTATCTTCTAAGGTGATAGCTATTCCTGCCAGCTTAGTATCATCTGCAAATTGATAAGTTCCCCTTCTATTCCCTCATCTAAGTTATTTATGAAGATATTGAAGAGTACTGGGCCTAAGACGGAATCTTGTGGTACCCCACTGCTTACTTCCCTCCATGTAGACGTAGACCCATTAAAGACTACTCGGGTACGGATTGTCAGCCAGTTACGAATCCATCTGATGGTGATGGTATCTATCCCACTTTTTTCAAGGTTACCAAGAAGTAGATTGTGGTCTACTTTGTCAAATGCCTTGCTGAAGTCTAAATATATTATGTCCACAGTATTTCGCTGGTCTACTAATTTAGTCACCATGTTGAAGAATGAAATATTGATCAAGACTTATCAGCCAGTGTAGTCCCACAGATTGTCCATATTCTGAACCAGTATGATTTGCAAACATCCAAAGTTAGGAACTACTGCAGAGGTGTTGGATTAGACAGTGGTCTGATTCAAGAAGTAATTTCTTTCGTTGTCAAGGTCGGGTTGCTGAATTTGCATTGTTGCAAATCTGTTATTTGGAACTGAATCATAATCCTCCCATAAGGAAGATGGGCCTATTAATTAAGTGGCACGATAGTGCACAACTCACGTTCAACTAAAATACATTTTGATGTACCTTCTATAGACCAATACAGCCAATATTGAAAGAAACCATTCATTTGGATAGATGCAGCCTTATTTATTCAGACAGACAGACTCTGCAGTCAGCAGAAATGAACATTAATTCTGGAATAATGCAGCCTTTATCCATAGAAAGAGCTGGTCCACATCATATATGGCTCAGACAGTTGCATTTTACTACTCTGGAATCAGTGTATCTATTATTACCCTCTCTTTTTTTGTTCCTATTTTGATCCACACTCTTACCCTTTCAAATGTTACGACTCAGCTTAAAAAGATTGGGTTGCAGTCAAACTCTACCTACAATGTTCAAGCACAAAAAACATTCTGTTTGCTTAATTTGTTGCCACAAAAATAGTGCAAAAAGAATTATCATCAGATATTTGTAATCAGTGTTTAGTCCTATGTACTCAGCTACATCATTACATTTTATTCGGGGTGACTTTCACATTTTTAAAGCAAGCTTTTTAATTCTCCTATAGTTGGGCACGGCAGTCAGGTGGAGACTTGGTTGATTTGCGATTGGACCGGGTCTGCAGAATTGAAGGAAGTCCCTCCTCCTGACTCTAGCTGTCAGTTTTTCAACTCGGTCGAGTTCGGACCAGTCGTGTCTAGGGACAGCG